GGGGGGGGGGGGATCGGTATACAGCACATTTGCAACGAGAAAAAACCGAGAAAAATACGACTCTCCTACCACTTCCTTAGATTTTCCCAACTTCCTACCAGTTTTTTTTCCGAGATTACCCGAAAATTTCGCTACTTTTGCTACAGAAATCTCGCTGTCGAGCGGGGATATAGCACATGTGAAACAGGAAAAACCACGAAAATTCAACAACCGGGAAAATTTTTCCCAACGCCGCAATTTCTCTCAGAAGGCAAATACGATCCCTTCTCCCAACGACGAGCAAATAGGACCCGCCTCCCCTCATAACATCCGTCAAACAAGAACTACCAAAAAAATTTCTCAGACCAAATACGCCCCCCCTCAGCGACCAAAATACGACTCCCCTGTTGGGGAATCCCCAAAGATGATGTGCCCTGACCGACTGTATCATATCGTTCGTATCAGTCATTTTCCATCGGATATTGTCGCTTACCCGCTTCAACAACTGGTGGAGAACGGGTTGGGCGTCGCGCCAAACTCATCCTGCCTGGCATGCCACCTTCGTTAGCAGCGAGCAAACTTGCGGTTGCCCGCATAATAATGTGAAAGGCTAAAAATGCAAACAAAAGTGGTATGCAGTTGGTTATTTAGTTGAAAATGTTTGGTTATGTAATTTTTACTAATTTTTATTGACGATCATAGATTTCATTTTCTGCAATCCTATTTTAGTGTTAAAGGCACATTTGTGAGCGATTTCAATGCATTGCGGAACATCTTTCGGCATATATCATTCGCACATACTGCTAAGTTATGGTTCTACACGGAGGAGTTTGCCAAAAACTGCATCGGTACGTTTAAAAGAGCTCTTTAGTGCGGTAGCCTACGGAATGGGGATACTCGTGCAGGATGGGCGTGGTAGGTCACCTGTGCTTTGGTTGTGGGAGGTCTGCTACCGATTCCCCCAGTCATCGGTTGCCACTTCTGCTTACACATGCAGGTAAAGTAGCTGCAGATGAGGGAGAACTTGCTTGCATTAACTATTATTCACAATCTGTGACCTTGGAAAGCTCAGGAACAGAAATGAACAGTCTTAGTAATTACGGATGTTGGGATGTGTCAGGCGTGGGGGGAGGCGGGTTTGGCGCGGCGCCAGCTCCCTGGCACGTCTCTCATCCACAGCGCACAGACTGCCCACTATCCACAGGGAGAATCGGCAAAGGATTCTGGATACACTTCGACTTGACACAACGAGTAAATCCAAAAATCGCGCGGCGAAACGTCGGAAAGTCGATGAGTGCTATAAACCTCCACAGGATAGGCGAAGGTCTCGTGAGAGGTGGGATGGAGTTGTCTTACACCGCCCTTTCTCCCATCCCGATGCTGTGTCCTGATGCGATTGTCCCAAAACATGCCTTCAAGTTTTCTTGAACTCCTGAGCCCATTTTCTACGTTTTGATAGTATCTGTGGGTGTATTGAGATAAATGTATAAAACAAGTACTGTTGATGACGTCGCAATCAATCGGGGAGCTTTCAAGAGGGATAAAAGCTCTCGAGGCCTTTACGTTCACTGGTTGTTCTTTTCCTAAATCGATCACCAATTGACCACCATTGGTAGAAAAGGGCAGCCGGAGGCGGATTCATTACGCCCCTCCTGACACCGCCACGACTGGTTACGACGTTGTCACCTATA